TAGGGCTGCCCGGCTCTAAGAGGATCGTACTGATTTCGTAAGCCAATTGGAGTAGAAGCGTTCCGAGACCGAGGTGGACGTACGGTAGATTTCTAGATTTAGACCCCCATCCCCCGGCTCCGTCCCTTAGCACAATTGCTCCCATGCCCGGACTTGCGCCTGTACAAATTGGCCACGTAAATTGCGCTGTACAGGGCTCCAAAACTCCGGATAGCCGCTGAATGACACAAAGGAGCTAAGAGTTGTCTGTATTTCCTTGTTGCCATTTAGAGGTTACCCCAGCTCTGTATGGACTGAAGACAGTGACTCCTTATCACCTGCCACTCGGCTCCCGCCTCCGATGGTGAGCAAATACAGTAACTGAGTTCCGGCTGCTAAAACTCCAGCAGACCAAAAACGGCTCTGCTTTCATTTCCTTAAGGCTGAAAGCCTTGGTGGGGGGGTATGCCTAAGCACCAAGTCGGTCGTTCCGCCTGCCTTGACTGTATTTGCCTGTGGTTCCCAAATCTAATTGCCCAGATGTAAACCGGGCATTCGGCTGCCTGCAAATGACTGACAGTGACTGAGCCATTCTACCCCTATATCTGTTCCCATTCAGCGTCCCCGCAACCAGATGTGTGGAAAAGGAAACTCGTTTCAGTCAGTCCTAGTTGCTTCTGAGCGACCGTTCTGCTCTAAACTGGAGTAAAAATTATGTAAACGGGTTTACCCAAAACCACTAACTCGGATTTAATTTTATTTTCCGGGAGCAAAGAGGATCAACCGTGCTGGGAGAGACATCTCCAGGCAGGTTAGAAGATCACTCCGATCAAGTTACAGAGGTATTAGGAATGCGGGGCGTGCATGTTGTTCAGGGCATAGATGCAAAGGAGCCTGGAACCCACAGGTGATCCTTATAATACCCTTCTACTGAACTGGTTTCTAGGCACATCTCAAAAGTAGGATGTTTGCACTGAACCTCAAACCAACCACACATCATTTTAGACCTGATGTCGCTGTGATCCCGACTGTGTATGGTAACGTGATTCGAGGCTGACAAAAAATCATTAACCTGTAATGCGAAGGCAAGCTAGGGTTGAGCCCGATGTCTGAAAACAGGGGCTAAGGTTGAGCCCGATGTCTGAAAACAGCTTCTTCGAAGGTGATCCCGTTCTGATCAGGTCGGTAATGGGACTGTGCTTCCTATCCCTATTTCCTCACCACAACAAAGCCCGATTGTGGGGACCTTCCCCAAAGTCAGTTGAGAAGTGCAAGTGCAGCTTGTTAAACCCCCATAATGGATTCAATCCACCTTGAAAGAAAGAGTTTCCATTTACAGAGAAAAATAAACTTCAAAGCTTCCCATCTTGATTCAGATTTCCTAAAACTTCCTGAATGCCTTATGAAAAAGAATGATATATTTATTAAATGTATTGCCACCCATCTCACTGTTAAGAGACTCTGGGTGGCTTATAAATATAATTTTACCTATAATTCTACCTACCTTGAGGAAATGGCAGTAAAGACTCTGAAATCCCAGTTCAGATTAGTGCCCTTCCAAATAGCTGCAAAAGTTGTGTGGCTTGGCAGTGATGCTCAAAAACCAGATATGGCAAATTAAGATTCTCCCCACCCCATCCCCAAAACCAACCGGTACATTGATGCCTTGAATCAAAAAAGTTGCTTTAAAATAATTACATACCTTAACATTGCATTCTCCAATGTGTGTGTTGTGATGTTTCCCCAGAGGCAAGTCCCACTAAATTAAATGGGGTGTGTCTTCATATAGCATGCAGTAGTGTTGCTTGTGGAATATTGTTGCTTATTCCAACAATGGAAGAGGAATATTTGTATCTATTGATCCCCATGTCCTAGTCTGTGATGCTGAGGTGGACTAAATACAGATCTTCCTAAGTGTTCTAAAACAAAGATAATGCCTGCTGTCATAAAAAGACTGCAGAAATAGCCTCATAGGAAAGAAACCATGAACAAAATAGTCTTTATTAGACTTTTCATTTTCTGTTGTTCCTGTAGAAGTCTGTCAAGAACATCTTCTGGATGAGTCAGACCTCACCTGCACTTACTCAGCAATAAATCCAATGGTCTTAATTGGATTTACACCTAAGTAAACAGCCCTACAATTACACTCTTGTAATGTAGATCCAATCTCCTTTTTTTGGCTTAGGCTTCCCCAGGCTGGTACTCTCCTGATGTATTGAACCATGAAGGCCATCATCCATAGTCAAAAATGGCTACAGCAGTTGAAAAATGTTCATAGTCCAGAAAAGAGAAAGCTTGGAAACTTTGTTAGTGGGTAAAGATGAAAGCTTAAATACACAGATCTGTGTATGCAAAATCTTGGAATCAATGGGGCTTCCCACTGAGCAAAGGTACATAAAAGTGAGGTTTAATTCCATTGAAGATAGACAAGCTTTTGGTAGAATGCAGGCAGGATCGGATCTGGAGAGCCAAGGTAAGTTTATTCCAAAGAAGTTCAGCTAAAATTCACTCATTTCAAGAGAATTGATTCTCATGCCAGCATCCTTAGCATTATTCATTTCAGAATTAAGAAAAATTATGAGAATCAAAGAGCCCAGAGAGTATTGTAAAATTAACAATCAAACCATCACATTCCATTATATTCTAATTCTACTCTACTGGGTTGCCCTTCTCAACCCAGAACCCTCTAGAAAGCTGGAGCTACATCCTCATCATTCTCAGACAGCATCACCCAGGTTGCTCTGAAGTCTTCTTTCTGATATCAAGACAACCTTTGTTTATATCTTTCCCATATTACTTTCCCAGTAAGAAGGAGTGCTTCTTACTCCTTCCTAGAAGAGCAATTGGGATTTTACCACTAGTTGTTGATTCTACTGAATGGTGAAATGTTTCTGTAAATTAATAATGACATTTACAGTAAAGTGTAATTGATAATTTCCTGGAAACACACATTTTCACAATGTTTACCTTCTTGTCTTGTCTAGTCAGAAGTGCCATTATGTGTTCTGTGAATCCAGTCACAAAGTGTTTATACTTTGACTACATGGTGCTCAATCTCTTATTGATTTGTTATTGCCATTTGGTTTTAATTATTGTTTATTCAGATGACTGTACATAAGATATTTATTTAAAACAGTCCAGCAACCCTACACCTTTCATACCCATGATCCCTCTAGGTGCTTTAGATTTTAATTCTCACCCAGAATTATGGGAATGTTTATCCAGAAAACCAGCTGTGGAAAGTTGATCTATCCCACCACTTTTTTGGAATATATTTGTTCTGTACCAAGTTACTGTTCCAACATATCAGGACATGCTTTTGTTCATACTTGATTATTTATCATTCACTAATATGTAGCTATCACCTATACTTGTTTAATGCCAACTTTGTGTACATGTACATTATGGCTAATATTATGATTTATAATTGAAGGGCTTTCAATTTCTTTGCCTATAAAACATTTAAAGGCATTGGGGTAGAAGAATGGAAAAAGATTGAACTCCTGTGGCTCTGGTCCTATAAACTCAATATTTCTGAGAAATTAAAGTTATAATTCTATCAAATGCTATCAAATGCAGTTAAGCCTGCTCTGCCCTTGACAAATCTTTCTCCATCATCAGTTGTCATCTGTAAAATGGGTATATACCAATCACATTTCATATAACTGTTATGGAAATGAATACATTTTTTAAAACTGCATTGGAATCCTAAGCACAAATTCAAAGTACTGCAATTTGAAATAAATCCCAATGAGTTCAGTTCCTTCCTTCCAGTTAGGATCCTTGTCTTCTAGTACTGAGTCTAAGCTTACACACCTGGATGTTATCTGCCAAAAATGTCCTATTGGTTTTTGGGGCAGAAGAATCCTTCTTTTGTTTGTTTGTTTAAGTAACAAAAGCAACAGGGCAAGTCTAGGCACTTACAAAAGAAAGTCCCATTGAGTTCAGTAAAGTTTATTCCAAGATAAGAGTGCCTGCTTAAAGCTGCAGTCCAATGTGAAGTTCCACTGAACTCAAACAAGTACGCAAATGATTGCAACCATAGCGTGAATAAATCGAACTGGCTTCTCTCCAAAGTAAACTCGCTCAAATTTTCAAACTTCTGCGAGTCCCAGTGGGTTAAATTGAAACTCGGTACCAGCACTGCAGCCTTCATCCGCTGATCAGCTGACGCGCATTGTGTCTCTGGCGCAACCTGAAGTTGCATCTCTACTCCGTCGCTGCCCGGTACTGGTTCTCCGTTCAGAACTGCCCAATCGGAGTACAGTCAATTCATTTGAAAAATTCCCCAAAACTGGATCGTGCGCCCGTGCGTTTAAAGGTCTCTCCTACAAAGTGTAAAAACAAAACTGCCCACACAGCGAGCTTAAGATATATCAGTATTAATATTTTGTTTGGCAACTGGAGCGGAGAGAAACGAGAGCACGGAGCCAAATCAAAACGCAGCCTAAGCCTCCAGGTAGAGGTATTTCACATTTAGAGGAGGAAGTCGAGTTGAGCAGAAAGCCGAGGGAGAGAGAGAGAGGGAGGAGTTGATTGACGGTTTCTATAGAAACACCGGATCCTCCGCCCCCCTTATAGGAGCCGGCCAATCAGCGACCCCTCTCGAATCCAGCCGACCGCTTGTGCTGTTAAGAATATGTAGCAGGAGAGAGAAGGGCTGAGGAGTCACGTTGGGGAGGGAAAGAAGGAACGAAAGAAAGAACGAAAAGGAGGGGGAGAGGAGAGCGGCTGGCAGGGGAGGGGGGGGAAAGAAACCCCGATCCGTTTACACGAGCTCTGCTAGAACAAGCTGTCTTAATGGTTACTACGTGGCGGAGGGGAAACTTGATCAGCTAAACGCCAGCCGGGTGGCGGTCCGGGAAGAGGAGGAGGAGCAGGAGCGGCGGCGGCAGCAGCAGGAGGGGTGTGTGAGCACTTTCCGGGGAGGGGGGTGTAAAAGAAGGGGGAAAAAAGGGGGGGAGAAAGCCGGGGGAGAAGCCCCTCCACCTAACACCAAACGCAGACCGTGGGGGGGGGAGATGTCTTCTGCCTCTCCCACCACCGTGATTCCCAGCGTGGTGGCGACGATCAAGCAAGAGAACGTATTGGAAATGTTCTGCGGCGGGGTGACGGAGAAGGTAACCTCGGACGGTTCGGCTCCCGCGTCTGGTTTTGCAGCGGCGGCTCCTTTTGCAAGGAAGGCAGAAGCCGGGGAAGAGGAGGAGGACGACGAGGAGGAGGAAGCAGCCGGTCGGGTTGTGGGTCAAGTTCTACTCCACTCGGAACTTTTGGGGCGGAATCCCGGCGCTGTGGCCGCCGCGTCTCCCTTGTCCTTGGCTTCGCCTCGGTCCTCCTCCTCCTCCTCGTCGTCGTCTTCCACCTCGCCCCAGGCTCTGCTCGCTTTCTCCCCGGACCACGTCGCTTGCGTCTGCGAGGCTTTGCAGCAAGGCGGGAACCTCGACCGCCTGGCCCGGTTCTTGTGGTCCCTGCCCCAGAGCGACCTGCTACGTGGCAACGAGAGCCTGCTGAAAGCCCGGGCGCTGGTGGCTTTCCACCAGGGGCTGTACGCGGAGCTCTACGGCATTTTGGAAAGCCACAGCTTCGACGCCGCCAACCACCCTCTCCTGCAGGAGCTCTGGTACAAGGCGCGCTACACCGAGGCGGAGAGGGCCCGCGGCCGAGCCCTGGGCGCCGTCGACAAGTACCGCCTGCGCAGGAAGTTCCCCCTGCCCCGCACCATCTGGGACGGCGAGGAGACGGTCTACTGCTTCAAGGAGAAGTCGCGCAATGCCCTCAAGGAGCTCTACAAGCAGAACCGCTACCCTTCCCCGGCCGAGAAGCGCAACTTGGCCAAGATCACCGGCCTCTCGCTCACGCAGGTCAGCAACTGGTTCAAAAACCGGCGGCAACGGGATCGCAACCCCGCGGAGCCGCAGTCCAAAAGGTGAGAGACGCGTGTTCGCGGGAAGGAGCCTGTAACTTCCAGGAGAGCGGAGCGGGCGGGGGGGGGCGGCATGGCGGGAAGCAGAGCGGCGTCTGTTTCTGGAGATTCGCCGCCTAAATTCCGTGGAGAAAGGATACACACTGCACATGTTCAGAGTGCTCTGTACATAGGCTTTAAACGTTGAAACAAATTCGGTTGCCCCCCCTCCCCAACAATGACTCTAGGCAGCGAACTGAAGTTTAAAACTAGGACAGTGTGTAAAATAACAGAAGCAATGTCCCATATGTAGGAAATCTAAAATCATTTCACTACTAGATTAGACCGACCGACCGACCTCAGGGTCCATTTCACCTCCTGGGGGAACAACCAAGCTTTAAGGCCTTGTGAAAAGCCAACAGGGTCTGAAATGGCCAGCATGGTTAGCAGATAGAATCATGGTGAGAGTGGGCATGAGCCCCCATCCTTTTCTGAGTTTAGTAAATTCTACACTTCCCTTCGGTTTACATCCCCTGTATCCCCATCCATTGCTTCTGGTATCTTCTCTACCACTTGATTTCTGGCTTTCCTTGGAGGGATAATCCTCCTTTGGCTTATGCCACCTCTTCCTCTGCCGGCTTCCTGCCATCTGGGTCTGGATTTCAAAGTGCTTCCTATATATTCTCGGTAAACCTCACAACACCCCTGCAGTGCAGGACATCATTATGGTCCTTCCTGTATTGTTGGCTGAGGTTTCTGGAGTGCAAAACAGTGCATTCCTGAAGGCTTCCTATGGAATTTGGGGCCCTGGCAAAGATTAAACAACATGGCTCCAAGGAAGGCACCTGGTTTGCTGCTTCTGCTGCTTTCCCAAGCTCTTGTCCTTGGGCCTCAATTGCTAGGCCTCCCAGCTGCCCTCCTTCTGCCCTCCTGCTTTCTAACCTCCTGGTCTGGCTTTGTTTCATTTCCACCAGAGCAATTTGCCTCAATCTAACACCTTGCCTCTTTCTTGCTCTTCCTGTTCCCCTCCCCTCTTCCCCCTCCCTTGCCCTCTGTCCTTGCCTGGCTTTCATTCCTAACCAATATGGCGCTTACCTTCAGCAGCCCCTTTCTTTCCAGTCTCCCACTTCCCAACAACCTTGCTTTTTCTTCTCCACGTTGCGGCTTCTTAGTTGCTGGGTTCAGGGAAAGGGATTGTTGACTGCAAACTAAAAGGTTGTTTGATCCTTTTTAGACATAATTTTCTCTCCATCTTCTCTCACAATCTGTCTCCAAAATCTCCACCCCCATTTTTCAGCTCTGGTTTCTCCTTGTAATCTTAAAAAAAAAAAGAAAGAAAGAAAATCTATGCCTGGGGGCATAGCTTCCCCAGACTTTCTCAAACCTTCCTCTCCCTAATCCTCAAGAGTTCTTTGTAGCTCAGATCTTCTTGGGTCTATTGTTTATGCCCAAGATTTGTCCTCTTTCTGCAAAAATTAAAAACTTTGTACCCCCTGGTGCTTTGTCCCAAGCACCTCATTGCCACTAGTTCTGCAACATAGCCTTATTCCCTGCTATATGTCCAGCCTAGTATTTTGGGTCTACCTCTGACAGAAGGAAGGCCTTTTCTCTAGGTTTCAGCCCATCTTCTCCTTAACAGAGGTGAAAAATTCTGTTTCTTCCTAGGATGCCGCTGTGTAGATCTGGCATCCTTTATATAATTCCCTTTAATAATTAAAAAAAAATTCCTATTCCTTGACCTGCTTCTTTGTGTTTGGAGATTGTGAGGAAACTGTTTCCCCACACATTTTGTTTGACAGCGTTAATTATTTCCCCAGGTTTTATGTCACAGAGGGAGGAAAAAAAAGTGAAATTTGAGGCTTGGCTAGTGAGCTATCTCCCTCCCTCCCCCCTTTTGGTTGGTGCCTTGTTTGCTCTTCTTGTTGTGAAACTTGATTCTGTGCTGATTTGGATCAGGTTTATGTCCTCAGAAGATGGGAACGAGGTCTTCCCTAGTTTATGATTCTAAGCAACCTGCCAGATGTCTTTTCAGCTGGCCTCTCCACTGGAGCCAGAGTCCTCTGTGGCTGAGGGGTTTCACATCATGCTGAGCCATAACGAGGTTTGATCATTTATGGTGTGGCAGTGAATCCAGCAGTTGTGAATTTGCAAACGGAAGACTTGGCACAATTTGTTAATTCAGTCTTTCTTTGGGGAATCTTACCTGTTAGAGCTCTTATTTTCCAACTAAATTCATGGACATAATCCCTGATGCTGCAGAAATCCCTTCCGTAGCTCCAGGGAACTGCTTACTTAGGGCCTTCCAAATGCTAACCTTTTAAAAGGAGGGAAAAGTTGTCTGACAAGAGGTCATCCCAGATAGTCATCTGTCTTGCAATAGCCAGGTGAGGTGACCTAACTCTGCACAAGGTGCCTCCCTTCCTTCTTTTTAGAGGGACTGGTTGAAGTCAGGAAACGTTGCTGCCTGCTTCTTCTTTTTTTTTTTTTTAAGCCTCAAAGACCTATTTTCAAATAAGGGCACAATTGTGCTGATCCAGCCCCCTTTTTGCGCCCTTGGAGCAAAGGCACCAAATGCACAAATGGCAAGTGAGAAGTGGGGTGGAGGAGGGCCAGTCAGCAAACTGTAGCCAGGTGGAAAGTACAGACTACGGAAGGCATGTGTGGATGTTTGGACTTGCTACAGCTCCTAAAGAATAAAGGGGCTTGGGGAGGGAATGTGTTATGTTATGAAATAATTACCTCCTGGGCCTTGCTGGGCTTTTGAAAACAGTTTTCCTTTGGTGGGTAAAATGATTGTTAAGATCCCGGATATTTTCTATTTTAAAAGGATCCTTGTTTTTTTTCTTTCCAAGCTTTCAGAAAGGAGCGTAAACCAAGACCAAACTTTATTATGTAGTGTAACTGTGGGCTACATTGTATTTTTTTCTCTTTTTATAAACATTTTTTTTTGTTTAGCTAGAAGCTGCCAGGTTGGGTTTGACTCATAGTAACTGCATAGACAAATGCTTGCCTTCCTGTCCTATTCTTTGTAATAATTCCTTACTTTTCCAAGGGCATCTCTTTGATCTTTTTCATCCATTTTATCAGTTGTTTTCCCCTTCTGTTTCCATCAATATTGCCAAGCATAATTTTGTGTCCTGAAGAAAGTTCATTTAAAAAAATTAAACAATTTAAAATTGTTAAAAATTAAATTAAATTAAAATTAAATTCTGGCTAGCAAAGCTGTTTATAGAGGTTGGGGCCAGTTTCAACTTGCTTTAGATCACAGTAGATGGTCTACAGCAGGCATGCCCAACCCTTGTCCTACAGGCCTCATGCAGCCCTAGACACCTACGGTAGTAAGATGGCCTCACAAGTTCATCAACTTTTATTATTATGTGATTTATCTACATTAACTATATTATATATAGTTAATGCAGCCCAGGCAAGCCAAAAGGTTGGACACCTAACCACTATAGCATCTATAAGTCCAATCAATTGACTGGTTCACTGATAATACACTGACTGTAATGATCACCAGCCAATAACTGTTGGCTTGTGCACAAGGTCAAAGACACAAATTCTTTTTATGTAAAAGCATCATCTCTGTGGCTGCAGCTCTGAAATTTAAAAAGAGTAAGCAATTACTATCCCTGAAACATATAATCTTGGTTCATGCACTGAGCAAAGGAATAATGTTATTCTATCAAACCCTATTAGTTGTGCTCTGATCAGTTAATGCAGACATGTCAAACTCGCGAGTCATGTGACGTCGCGCAATGTATCGGGACTGTTTTGCCATTGCCGGCAATGGGATGGGCGTGGCTTCTGTGTGACGCGTCCAGCCTGCGGGCCGGCAGTTTGACACCCCTAAGTTAACGTGATAGATAGACCAAGTCAATAATACTTTGCATTCATAAAATAGTAAAAATATTAACTACAAGTTATTAGCTATGCAGTTCATAGTGTGGTTTGTTGAATCAAGATTATTGACTAAGCTACCACTGACTGGGTTCAGACATTCTGAATCGTAACCAATAAATTAACAATTGCAATAATGGCAAATTAACAATTTAAATTTAAAATTAAAATTAATTCTCAAAAGCTGAACCTCAAACTGATCTTTGTACATCATGCAAATGAACTGCTATGTTTATAACTGGCTTATTAATTGTGTTGTGTGGATATATATTCAATAAGCTTTGTGGCTGGATGGAAAATTTAGCCTAGATTTCCCTGGTTTAATTTGGAGAAGTTTGTACAGTCCAAGTGGCTAAAATAATGGTTGGCTAGTTTGTGGCTTTATGTATGTTGGAAATAAACCTGTATGATAAGTTTGTAGTCCTGAGAGTTCTCCAAACTCAGACAGCTGGATTAATTTAAACTATAGTTCACCTAACCATAGATTAATAAGTTATATGAACATATCCACTGTAATCATGATAATTAACTGGCTCTTTTTGCCTTCCTTATAGAAATATGAACTGTTGCCCCTGTTCCTATCTAAGAATAGACTGCTTTCAGCTGTTAGCATCATTCATGATATTATGAACTCTTGGAATACAACCAACTTCTCTCTTTCAAGAGAAGATACCTACTTATTTTGCAATGCATTAATTACTGCTTATGGGTTAATTTTTGTATGTGTCTAGTATACCACTCCTTTTAGAAATCTTCCTTAGTCCTTTCTGTTAAGTGATTTCCAGAAGAAGAAAAAAGGTAGCTTCTTGTAGAGATGTCTATAAAATATCCTTCGTTTTATCTGAAAGAATTGCATATACAGTATGAGAGTAATCAAACAGAAACAACTAATCCCTCTTTATTTGCAAGGGTATCCTCCCTCTGATCAGCTTTGGCTACAATAACTTTTTTCTTCCACTCCCCTGCTGTGCTGTTTCTTCTTCCCTTGAGAAATACCCAGGATTGAAGGCTGCTAACACAATTTGGTCCTTCTCTCACAATGGTGGTAAATTCATCAGTTCAAGTTGTCATTAGTAGACTGTTGTGTCTGAGACCAACCACTGCCATTTGGGGCAACTTGATGA